CCAGTTTTGGCATCAGGGGTATGCTGGCTTCATAGAATGAGTTTGGGAATTTGCTACCCTTTCTATGTTTTGGAAGAGTTTCTGTAGGATTAGCGTCAGCTCTTCTCTGAATGCTTGAATTCTCCTGTGAAGCCATCAGGACAGTAGCTTTTTTGTTTGGGAGTTTCTTGATGGCCTTTTCTATTTCTTCTTTGGATTTGGGTCTATCCAAGTTCTTAATGACCATATGCGTCAATTTAGGAGGAGAGTGTTTTTCTAGGTATTTACCCATGTCCTTTACGTTATTGACGTTGTTAACATACAGTCTTTCTTTCATTATTATTAATTTTTTTTATTTCATAAGGGTCTGTTGTAACTGCCCCTGTTTCATTACGGAGTCTTGATATTAACATCTGCTCTTTATTTTGTTAAAATTGTAAATGGTTTGTCAATTTTCTCCATTGTTCTTCTGTTTTCCATTGCATTTATTTTGGCTCTTATTTTCAGATTTCTTTTCTTCTGCTGGTGAAAGGATTATAATTTTTGGAGGTGCTGTTTTAAGGAGGTGACCATGATTCTCTCCTCCCCGCCCCCATGTGTGTGTTTATTGCAATAAAGTGGAGGGTGTGGCCTGCATCCAATGTATAGGTTCTAACAAAGCTTGTGGAGAAAAAGCTGTTTGCTCCTTAGGCAAACAGGACAGGACCACCACCTTCCAAGGTTAACAGCCCATGGGAAGCCCTGATGGCTCAACCGTGGGAGCTGATGAAGCAGCAGCTGGCCTGTGTCTCCACCTGAGATAAAACAGACACTTTGGCTCAAGTCCCTGGCAAAGCTGCAGAAGCAGCAGTCTGCAAACTCATCAGTTATTTCATGTTCCCAGCCTTGTCCCCCCTTCCTGACAGTAGCCTCAAATACTTGTGGACTCTCCCTTTGTGTAATACTTCACGAGTTGCAGGCTATGTGCAGGAAAGGTATTTAAACCTGCCTGGAATAAAGTTCTGGGCTCTGGAGTGTCTGTACGTCGGGGTCCCTGATGCCTCACCTGCATCTATCCTTTTTCTGATCTATAAGCTTTCTCTTTGCACATTGTGCTCCAATCGAACCTGTTAAATATGTAAGATAAGAGCCGGTCTCTATATTAATGCACTTTGTTTCTTATATCTGACACATCGTTTTCTTACCCCTGTTTGTTCGTTTATATGCCAGCAGCCTGTGATTTGATCTGCAGATTTTGAGATTTCCTAGATCCCACCGTCCTATGGATCACCTGCCCGATGTCTAACCTATTGGTTTGAAGTTCAGCCCCTGGAATGAGTCATGAGTCACCTCGAGTTTGATATTCGAACCCACAGATCTGGGACTTTTCAGACTTCACAAAAGCACGAGCCATTTCCTTGGGGGAAAAAACAAACATTTATCTCTTCCTCTCTTTAAATGTTATTTTTTTGTTGTTGTTAGGTGTTATTGAGTCAGTTCTGACTCTTGGTAACTCTGTGCACAACATAATAACACACTACCTGGTCTTGTACCATCCTCACAGGCGTCGTCATGGTTGACGGCACTATTGCAGTCTTTTCACCTCACTGAGGGTCTTCGCTGACCTAGCAAATTGTCCTTCTCCAGGGTACCGGTCTCTCCTGATGACGTGGCTGGAGAATATGAGATGAAGTCTTGCCATTCTTGCTTCTAAGGAGCTTGTAATGGTTAAGGATCATGTCAACTTCACACTCTTGGATAAGATTAGGGGTAAGGCCCCATTTATCATATTTATCATTTGAGTTGCAGCCTAATGGCACCTCCTTAGGAGTAGTGTGACCTTTGGTATGAGAAACATAGATAGAGATCAAGCAGACTTGAATTTTCTTTGGTCCTTCCCCTTCTGACGTGGCTGAAACCTGTTTCTGGTTCCTTGATACCCTTTGAATTGCCTGAACCAGAAGCCCTCAGTGGACCACTGGCCGTGAATTCATTCAGCTAACTTCTGGGTTATATGACCTCTGCCTCTGTCACCCTGGGTCCTTCGCTCTTTCTGCTTTGTCATCCTGCATCCTGTTTGTTAGCTCCCAGGAGTCAGGAGAAGCTTGGCTTGAACTGGACTGGACTTACCTGTTTCTACAATTGTGAAAGCCATGTCTCGATACATATTACTTTCTACAGACGCGTATACAAGTGTCAATGATTTGGGGTCTCTCGAGAACTCAACACAGAACTGTACTTCTTGCAATA